CACTGCCAGAATACAGCGTCCATTGTACAGACCAGGACTCAGGAAGGCTACCTGGTAAATGAAGTAACTTAAGCCCAATCCCGGGCAACCACGAAATTTGAGACCTACAAGCAGTTGATGCAGGTGGTTTATAAAGTTCAATATGCAAACTCGACCAGTCCCTCCATTCCCCTTCTCACAATTTCCCTGGGTGTCACCCTCCCATCCCCTTTTATTTCAGGGATTCCCTTCAACCTTCCACCCCCTCCCTCATTATAGGGGCTCCGCATGCCCTTGTAAACCGTTGGTGCTTGGTAGACCTCCCTAAGTTGTGATCTTTACTGTGGAAAAGTGGCTAAAACTTTATCAAACATCACAATAATCTATAACAAGTGTTGAGTGGAATAGGTACAAAAAGGAGAGAGACAGACTGAATTAGTCCAAACGAAAAGGCCTACTGATCAAACTCAAGGTATACGTTAAGATCATGCCTGGTAAACAAGGAAAGTGTGGGACTGGAAATCTGTGAACCAAAATTGATGTGTCCAAAATTAGGCCTAACTGATGAACAAACTGATGGCTGGCTATGTTTCCCATCATTCCCTTTTCAGGCCCACATTTACTAAAGAGAGACTTTGTGGGGGAAACTAACTAACTGACTGGGAGACTGGTGGACTGGAAGGAACTAGCTTTGTCATCATGACTGCCACCCTCACTATCTCCTGGGACTCCAGGAGCCACTATGACACCATTAGGCCTCTGGTGTTCTGATTCTGAGAGATGTCCTGACCAGACCGGTCCAGAGAGAGGGAATCAGATGATATTGCCATCTCCATCGGCTCTGGCTAAATCCTGACCACCACCTAAGATGTGAGACTTTGGTTCCTGTTGTCACCCCTTCCCCATACCTGTCATTTTCCTTCCCCACCTTCTTTTGCCTTCTGTTTTATAAGCATCTGACTTAGCCAGTCAGGACTGCATATTTTGCAACACTGCTGTAAGCCTGTGACCACAAAGATAGCTAAAAGCAATGGCCTAAATAGCCTGCCGCTGGTACAAGTTAGCCAGGTCTCAGAGTAGCTGACAAGAGCATGTGCTATGCCTGTGTTTCTCCCACAGTGAGATTTTGCAAGTGAAGATACTGGTTTTTTTCTTCCATTTTCTGTTTGTTTTATTTTGACTTCTAGGACATGGGATGGGACTTTAACAGCAGCAGCAGGAACAGCTCCAGCCTACCTCAACTGCCTTTTCTCTTTCCCCCCCAAAAAGATGACTGATCATTCTACAAGCAGGGAACAAGCTTAGTTAACACACACAGGCTAGTATGAAATGGCGGGGGGGGGGGGGGGTTGGGGGTTAACTTCCCTGATATCTGTTGGATAACTATTGCAGCGAAACATAATATGGCCTGAAAATTCATAGCATGTGTAGAGAACAATTTTGATTCAGAAAGTTGAGGACACAAAGGCAGTCAGTCCATTTTGGATCTGGTTTTGACCAACAGTTGTAACCGCGAACACGAAGGTGGTTGGGAACTTGGGAGGAAGTGATCATGATTTGATAGAATTCAAGATCCTATGGAAAGGAGGAGATGAGAACAGCAAAACAAAGACACTGGACTTTAGAAAGGCGGGTTTCAATGGACTCAGAGAAATAGCAGGGAAGGTCCCATGGAAAGACCAATTAGGAAGAAAAGGAGTCGAAGGAGACTGGCAGTTCTTAAAAGATGTAACACTAGAAACTCAACATCAAGCTACTGTGATGCAGACTTAAGATATGAGGAGCCACAGCAGGCCAATGTGTCTGCACAAGGAGCTTTTTAGCTATCTGAAAACCAACAGGGCTCCATACAGGACATGGAAGGAGGGGCATGTCACCAAGGAAGTATACATGGGAATAGCAAGAGTATGCAGGCACAAAATCAGGAAAGCCCAGGCAAAGAATGAGTTACAGCTGGCAAGAAATGTTAAAGACAACAAGAAGGGGTTCTTCAAATATGTCAGACAAAAAAGAAAGATCAAGGACGGTGTGGGTCCACTGCCTAATGGAGGTGGGGAGCTGGTAAAGGAAGATGATAGGAAGGCAGAGCTGCTTAATGCCTACTTTGCTTCAGTCTTCTCGCAAAAAACAACATGTGTCCAGCAAAGTTACCATAGACAATAAAGGGGAAGGGATGCAGATTGGGATAAGTTAAAAAACACGTCAGAGATCTTCTGACCAATTTGAATGAATTGAAATCAGCAGGGCTGGATGCTGTTCACCCCAGGATACTGAAAGAATTAGCTGAAGCCACTGGCAATAATATTTACAAACTCTTGGAGAGGTCCCGGAAGACTGGAGAAGGGCTGACACAGGGCCCATCTTCAAAAAGAAGAAAAAGGAGGAGCCAGGGAACTACAGACCAGTCGGCCTGACTTCGATACCTGGGAAGCTACGAGAGCAATGTCTAAATCATTCAATCTGCAAGTACCTGGAGGATGACGGGGTAATCGCTAGCAGCCAGCGTGGATTTACCAAGAACAAATCCTGCCAAACCAGCTTGATTTCCTTCTTTGACAGAGTAACTGATTTAGCGGATAGGGGGAATGCAGTGGACATAATATACCTGGACTTCAGCAAGGCTTTTGACTTTCTGATAAGTAAGCTGGAGAAATGCGGGCTCGGCAGAACTACCATTAAGTGGATACATAATTGATTAAACAACCACAAACAAAGAGTAACTATTAATGGAATGATGTCGGATTGGAGGGAGGTTTCAAGTAGAGTTCCACAAGGCTTTGTTCTGGGTCTAGTGTTGTTTAACATCTTTATTAATGACCAGGATGTAATTAAGAAAGCGCACGGATCAAGTTTACAGACAACACAAAGCTAGGGCGGTTGCCAATACTTTGGAGGACAGAGCTAAAATTCAGAGGGATCTTGACAAATTGGAGAACTGGGCTATGGACAACAAAATGAAATTCAACAAAGACAAATGTCAGGTGTCAGAGGAACAGCCGTGTTAGTCTGTATTCGCAAAAAGAAAAGGAGTACTTGTGGCACCTTAGAGACTAACCAATTTATTTGAGCATGAGCTTTCGTGAGCCCACAGCTCACTTCATCAGATGTGTACCTTAGGGAAGTAAAACCAAATACAGAATGGGGGATAACTGGCTTGGCAGCAGCACTGCTGAGAAGGATCTGAGAGTTCTGGTGAGTTTCAACCTCAGCATGAGTCAGCAATGTGACACTATTGCCAAAAAAAAAAAAAAAGCAAATGCAATTTAGGTTGCATTTACAGAGGCATAGCATGAAAGTCTTGGGAGATAACAGTACTGCTCTACACGGCACTGGTTACACCTCAGCTGGAGTACTGTGTCCGATTTTGGTCACCAATGTCTAGAAAGTATGGAGAGAAACTGGAAAGGATCCAGAGGTGAGCGACAAAGATGATCAAAGGGATGGAATGCAAGCCATACAAGCAAAGACTGAAGGAATTGGGTATGTTTAGTTCGGAAAAGAGGAGGTTAATGGGGACATGATAGCACTCTTCAGATACTTGAAAGGCTGCCATAAAAAAATTGGAGAAAAGTTGTTCCCTCTTCCCACAGAGGGCAGGACAAGAGGCAATGGATTCAAACTACAGCAGAGCAGATTTAGATTAAATCCCAGGAAAAACTTCCTTCCTGTAAGAACAGAAAGACAATGGAACAGACGCCTTGGGAAGTTGTGGAAGCTCCTTCACTGGAGGTTTTCAGAAGGAGGCTGGATAGCCGTCTGTCTTCGATGGTTTAGCCACAACAAATCCTGCATCTTGGCACAGGATTAGACTAGAGGACCCTTTTGGTCCCTTCTAAAGATTCTAAGATAGTTATTACCCTTTTTAATCCCATCCAAGAGACTCTCAAACTAGGCTTTTTCTTCCTACTACAGACTCTCTATAGAGAAGGGGAACATGGGATATTGTTAAAAGAAGAGACTTCCTTAATACTGTATATTTTGAATGCTTTAACTGTTTTTCCTTCTTTTTCTGTATCTTTAATAAGAGAGTAAAAAGATTTTTAATAGTGTGTTTTCCACGCTAATAAGCAGGCTGAGGACTCTGTATTCCAAAACCTTGAACCTTGTTTAACTGTTTAGTGTTGTTCAGTGACAGGGTCATGTTAACACCCTGGACTCTCTGGGCCCCTTTATTCCATCAACAATAACATAACAGTGCTCCCCTATTTCTCTCTTCCTGTGCCCACGCCAGGGTCCCCCATTCCCACCTCCCCCCTATGCCAGGGGCTCTCTGTGTGCCCTCCACTTCCACCTTCCCGCTCTCCTAGGGTTCCACAATCTCCTCCCATGCCTGGGGCTCTGCATGTGCCTACATTCCCCCTATGGCCCTATTCCTTCCACTACTCTCATATTTTTTCTGTGTCCTTTTTTTCCCCCTTCATTTATTTTTCTTTCAGTGTTACTATTTTATAACTGTACTGGGACTAAGCTGGTGGGAGGGGGATGTGCACTGCCAACCTGTTCTTTGATCGGTAGGCAATTTGAAAGGTGGGTGAAGCTGCTGGCTCAGTTAACCAGATGCCAGGGGGTTCCATGTGTCACCCATTTCCCCCTTTCTGTTTTTCTGATTGTGATCAAAATCAAGAAGGTTCTGCCCATAAATGCCTAAAGCATTCCCTACATTTTGGAACTGACCGGATGTGGTGTTGAAAAGTTATGACAGACAAACAGAGACATGCTACTGAGTTGAGTGTTAGACCTCACTTTGCTTGGCCAGCAACAATGGTTGCAATGAATGGTCAGGCTATGCTTTCTGTCTACGAGGCTTCCAATAATAAAAAGGAAAGAGGAAGCGGAAAGCCAAGGGATTTCTGTACATCTAGACAGAAAACACAGGTGTGACTGAAGCTTGAGTAGACACATCTGAGCTAGCTTTATTCTAGCTAGCTCAAGTACCAGTCGTGATAAATCTGTGGCAGCATGTGCTTCAATGCAGGCGACACCTTTCCCCCCGCACCCGGCACTGTTTAACCGTGGAATACCTTAGCTACTTCTGCATTTTCTGCTACCATGTACGTGAAGCTGATGTTCACCAGATCTGTGCCACTGCAGACACACACTATCCGCCCTTCCAGCTCAGTTTCTGCTTTTCCCACAGTCTCAAGAACAGCTAGTATTTTGGGATCCTGTTAAACAGAAAAAAAAGACTTGTTAAATGCACAATACAAAGATTAAGCTAAAAACACAACTCAGGTTCGCATGCATTAAGACTGTAAATATTTCCCGGTCACCTTAAATGAGTTGTTTCATTTAGAATCTATTGGCATGATTAGGAAAAAAATCTAATTTAATAATCACTGACTGTGGCTGAATCCTAAAAGCAGAGAGATAATTGCAGTATTTTAAATACATTTCAGAAAATTACATATATTACCTTCACAGAGAAGGGAAATGGAATACTTTTAAAGACTGGCAATAGTTTATGGGAATTCTTAACTCTATGTAAATAAATTATTCCAATCCAAATCAGTAGTGACCAAAAGTTATTATTTGCATGGAATGAGTGGGTGATTTCTAACCATTTCTTAGCAGCAAATCTGGTGCTCTTTGGTACCTTTGCTGGCAGTCAAGAGCCATAGATTTAATAAGCCTGGAGACTGAACTATTCATAGAAATTGGGAATATTCTGAAGCATATTTGAAGTTTGAAGCATACTCGTGGGGTATCATGGGGAAGTCTGCACTGCCTTAGCCCATGACCTACTTTGTTGGCTGAAGATTTCAGTCTATCACCTTGAAAGAGAACTAACTTCGCTAGAAAAAATAAATCTATGATTAAAGTGAAAAATCTATGATTTTTAAGTAGAACCATAGTCTGATTGAAGCTTTTGTATTTGACATCACCGGACAACTAGATAGCAAAACTCTTAAAGAGACACTGAAGCAATTATGCCCAAATTTCATCTCAGAAAGATGTCTAAAATCCAGATGCATTTTAAAAAGAAATCTATATTAGAAAATATTTTAAAAGCTATGATTTCTGTAGAACCCTCAGGTGGTCCCTCTGCAGACTGCCTTTGAAACAGCAGTTAATAATCACAAGTCCGAGAGCTGTCCTGACACAATTGATCATTTAAGTATCTAAAACAAGGAATCAAACAAAAATTTCTGATTTCTATGTCAATGAAACATAGGAACACATCTTGAATGATCAAGGACAAAAATTAAACCAGAAAATATTTTCAACCTCCTAAAATGATATCATAATAGTTCAAAATAATTTGAAAACCCTGGACAGGATCCTTTTAATATTCAGTGCCCAGATTTCACAGCCTCTTGGAAGGTCAGCACTGACATGGCATTGCAATATTACAAAACCTCGACACTGAAATAAACTAAAACCACTTAATCTTAAAGCTAAACGTTTTAGGCTATGATTTTACAAGCGAAGTTGTGCGGGCGGTATTTTGTGACAAGCTGCACTGCATTCCCCACTTCACCTTCAGCTTAAACACTCTTTGTTTAAAAGAACAGTAAAAACTAATTACAGCGTACCTTTGGTACAGCTCCAAGACGAATACTGTTGATCAGGGAGCATTCTAATACCTGTCCTTCCTGGAACGGCAAGAGAAGGCAAGTTAGCTAAAAGGTCTGGCGAAACACAGTGCAGACACAAATAGGAATTGAAGCAAAAACAAACAATGAGTCTTAAATGCAACTGCAGTTAATTAACACAAAACAGTACATTTTCTTTTCACATCTGTTAATAATCTGTCAAGAATTGCAGTTATGTAACTTCTAAAAACACAGGAGCCAACCTATCTTACTGTAAATAGTTACAAAGCCACATGTAATTTTAGTGATTAAAAATTAGCCTGGAAACAAACCAAGTGCAACAACATAGGCAGACAGTAATGTTCCTGGTACAACAGTACTGTACCTTTCCTTCACTTTTCCACCTTAGGAAAAAACCAAATTCATCCACTTGAAAGAGACAGTTTGGTTCAAAGACAAAGGACTCCTGTTGAAAGGGAAACACAACAAAATATTTTGGTGATGTTGACAAAATATTGTCAGGCATTCATTTGTTGCTCAAAACTAAAGATCTTTTACCTTTTCCCCAACTGCCTTGCAGTATTGCCAGTCCCAAGCATTCAAAAATAAGGAGTCAATCCCCAGAAATCATGAGATTTTTAAAAATAATAAATATTAGAACTTTTTTTATTTGACTTCTGGTTTCTGAGACATTACAGCAGACTCCGTTCTCATTTTCAGGCCTTTCTCAACAGCCACAAGGGCTAGAAACTTCTCTTTCTAAATGAAAGCTGATTTTCTCACCTAATCACAGGCTTCCAGAAACAACCTCACCAAATATTGTGAGGCTTGCAAGAATTGGCAACTGCTCGGGGTCAAACCACCACATTTTGCAATGACTTTTGGGGAAGTGCTTTCGCAAAAGCTGAACCCTCACAGAAGAACTTCTAGAAAGTACACACAAAAATATATTGCAAAGTGTTAGTCTGGCAGGGAAGATAGTATATAAAGCAGTTCGGAAGGAATAGAAAACCAGAGATTAGATTGAAAAAAAAAAAGAGCAGTCAGGTCAGCATTACTAAAAACACAAAAACTAAAAAAGTACACCCCCCCCAAACTATTTTTATGTTAGAGGTGAAACTAAAAGGTAAGGAAACATCCCACTGTGCAGAATCAGTCATTTTTAAAGGGAACAAAAAGTCCAGCCCAGGCCAATCTTTTTTTAATTAAAAAAGATTACTTTATAACGAACGGCAAGCATGTGTGTAGGGAGCAGAGATGCTGTGACGGACAGAGGGCAGCACTTCATGTGGTTTGGGACATTTCCCACACAAAAGGATCATGCGGACAGGAGGATTTCTAACTTCTCTGATTCAGTTAGCACCATCCCACAAGCCCTCCATGCAAGGAACACCCATGTAAGTTAATAAGAGTTTTGCTGCAGGATGGGCCACAAAGCAGCCAGACCTGCCTACTACTTCGCTCCCTTGACCCGGAACACATTCAGAATCGAAGAGCATCTGCCTCTTAAATAATAGCACTGAGTACATACAGCACTTTTCAGCTTCAAAGCACTTCGCAAATATTAATTTCTGCGGCATCACTGTGAGGTAGGAAACAATTATCTTCATTTTACAGATAGGGAAACAGAGAGAAGGGTTAGAATTTGCCGTAGATTCAGAGACAGAGTCAGAACTGGATACGAGGCACTTCCTGTGCCCTCTCCTATAGCCAGGCTGCTAGTCCACACCTCACAGCTTACTGCCTTTTTCTTAATCCTTGCACTTCATAAAATGTACCAGCTGCAAACATCCCAGAATCACTAGTTTTATAGCTCACGGGTATCCCTGTAAAGCTGCGTCTATAAAAACTCCAGCTAGCCACCTGTTAAAGGGAGAACCTTTTAAAATCTGCCTGGAATAGAGCAATGGTTCTCAACCATTTTGGGTTCAGGGCAGGACCCATTTGTAAATGTTTACAGCCTGTCGTAACCCAGAAAATAATCTGGGGGTGGGGGCCCTGGGGTGGTTTTGGTCTGATCTTGCCCCCTGGAGAGGCTGAGTCCTGTCTGGCACTTACCTCACGCTGGCAGCTCCTGTGCTGTGGGGCTGGCTGGATATGGCTCTCCGCGCCGGGAGTTGCAACCTCCTGGGTTGCAGCGCCACTCAGGTATAGGCCCCTCCCCAACTGGACCAAATTTGCGTGGGTGGAGTTGTGACGTGGCTCATGGGGCTGCAGTGCCACTCACCCAACTCTGGCATCATGACAGCTGGGCAGAACCCGAGCGGCGCTGGGACCCAGAGCTTGCAGCGCCTGGAGCAGGGAGGTGAACCCAGCCAGCCCCGTGGGACAGGAGCCGCCACGCGACCCTTTGAAACGTTCCAACAACCCGATTTTGGGTCCCGACTCAGGTTCAGAAACCCTGGAATAGAGGGTCACCTCAATAAGCAAGGTCAATGCCAAGAAAATGGGGACATGTTTCATTGCTTGTTGCACCCCCATGTGACTAAAAGCTCTCAGTATAAAAATAACTTTTCCTACAAAGATGGCCACATAAGCTGCACTCAGTCCAACGTCCACTACTTAGCATGCACTGGTTCCATTAACTAATTGCTTCTCCAGTTTTTCTTCTAATACAGTGAGGGAAACACCAGCTACCACAAATTCTAGACATTACACAGTCCAATACCATTGCTAACCTTTGACCATCAACCTTCTCCACTAAGATATTCCCAAAAAGCCTTTCCAACATTCAGGTGTGGTACTGCCTGGCTCAAAGAGAAAGGAAGCATATCCCATGTGGCCTGTAATTCCTCTCGCTGATGTATACCTCTAGCACAGTGATCCAGACTTCGTTCAAGACCTTCTAGTCCCCCAGTGAAATTCCATTTTGTGAATATTGCTTCCTTGGGAGGCAGTGTGGTCTAGTAGTTAGGACACTGCTCTCAGACTCAGGAGCTGTCCCCTATTCGCAGCTCTGCCGCTGACCTGCTATGTAAACTTGGACCAGTCACTTCACTGGGTCTCTGCTGTGCATCTCTGCTTTGCCTGTTTAGGCTGGAAGTTCAACATAGAAGTTCAATGGGAGCTGGGTGCCTAAATCCCTTAGGCTCTTTCGAAAATCCCAAACTAAGATTATAAATCCTTTGCAGGAGGGCTCTTGCTATGGGTATGTACAATGCCTAGCACAAACCTCGTTAGGATATCTAGGCATTACTGTAATTCTATTAAATAAATAATACTATCCCAACCAACCGCAAACTTGATGATATCATCAAAGGGGCTGGGCTACCACGCAGATGAGCTTACAAGTGTTCTGTAGCAAAACTGGGTAAATTTACCATACAGTACTTACAGCGAACAATACGGATACAGAACACCGCATGTTTTCTGCTTCAAATAAGGCAGGTAGGACCCCTGCTAGCAGTCAGTGTAAAAAGAAGAGCATATGATTCAAAACGCCGTGAATGCAGCACAGCACTTAATAAAATCTGATTTATACATACAACGGCAATGCCTAATTCCATTCCCAAATGTCAACATTGATTAGGTAGGTGAAATTACTAGCAATTAATATAAAGCTCAGTACTTTTCCCATCCTGAAGAGATCCACTGCCTCTGAAACCTGTTCCAATGTTAAACGCTGTACCGTTCACACGGTTCGTGCTGTAAAAATGCAGCCCTGGCTCTAGCCACTAAACAGAGGTGAACTTAAATATGCCACATAACTGGCACTGGTGCCTTTTATTTCAAGGTTGCTTTGGACTGGTGACTTCTTCCAAAATTCAGCTGCACTCAGCTACTTCTTGCATCTTAGAATCATAGAAGTGTAGGGCTGGATGGGACAGCGAGAGGTCATCAGATCCAGCTCCTGCGCTGAGGCAGGAACCTTCGACCAGCATTTCTCAAAGGCGGCCACCAGGGGCTTTTCTTGCAGCCACAGCTTCCCGGGCAGTTATGTGGGGAGTTGGCAAAGCAGTGGCCTGTCCCCAGGGGCCACCAGCAGTGGTTGGGCCCCACCCTCCTCTGGGGAGACACAAGCTGGAGGAGCAGGCAGTCAGCGAGTTCCCCACCTTCCCGGGGGCTGTGAGGTTGGGCTTCAGCCCTGGGGTGGTAGGTGGCAGGTTCCAGACACAGGGCTTCGGCCTCTGTCCCCAGGCTCTGTCCCCTGGGTGTGGGGCTTTGGGCTCTGTTCCCTGGCTGCCTGGAGGCAGGCTCTGGCCCGAGCTCACCCCCCCACCAACTCTGGTCCCCGCTGCCTCCCCCCCCACTGCCTCTGTACCCACCTCCCTATCCAGGGATTAATTTGTCCCCGAGCTTGCCAGGGCTGAGTAAGTCTGCTGTGAAAAGTGATATTAACAAACATACAAATATCACTTTTCACAACAGACTTCCTAATAGCTAGCAAGTCTTAAAAAAAACAACCCCAAAACAAACAAGAAAAAGGACAAGAACGTTCAAAGCTCCTTATTTGTGTTTCTCGTCTGTTTAGGTCCAGTAAAGAATAGAGACAACTGTACGTTATTTTTATTATTGAGTCTGAAAAAACAAACAAACCCTACATAGATAAATTACAATGATTTGGGCATGTATATGTGCATATTTATTTGATTTTCCTAAAGTTAATTAAGTATTTTAGGAAAAATGGTCAGAGCAGCCACCAGCAAGAGTTGGTGGCCGCACTCTGAGGCCACCAAAAAATTTGTTGCGAGAACCCCTGCCTTAGACCATCCATGACAGGGGGTTGTCTAAGTTGTTCTTAAAAACCTCCCATGATGGGGATTCCACAACCTCCCTTGGAAGCTTGTTGCAGAACTTAACTACCTCTATAGTTATCGAATATTGAACTAAAACTCCCTTGCTGCATATTAAGCCCATTAGTTCTTCTCCTACCTTCAGAACAATTGATCACCATCCTCTTTTAAACAATCCTTAACATATCTGAAGACTGTTATCCAGTCCCCCTTCAGTCTTCTTTTCTCAAGACTAAACATGAACAGGTTTTTAACCATTACTTGTAAATCAGGTTTTCTAAAGCTTTTATCACTTATGCAGCTCTCCTCTGGACACTCTCCAATTTGCCCACAGCTTTCCTAAAGTGTGGCACTCAGAACTGTACACACGTCTTCAGCTGAGGCCTCACCAATACCAAGTAGAGCGGGACAATTACCTCCCATGTCTTATGTATGACACTCCTGTTAATACATCCCAGAATCATATCAGCCTTTTTCGCAACTGCATCACTTTGAATATGGAATTGAGTCAACAATTTGTGATCCACTATAACCCCCAGATCCTTTTCAGCAGTATCATCATTTAGCTAGTTATCCTTATTTTGTAGTTGTGCATTTGATTTTTCCTTCCTAAGTGAAGTACTTTGCACTTGTCTTTACTAAATTTCATCTTGTTGAATTCAGACCAATTCTCCAACATACCACAGTCATTTTGAATTCTAATCCTGTCCTCAAAGTGCTTGCAACCCCTCTCAGCTTGGTGTTATCCACATTTTTCATAAGCATACTCATCAGTCCATTATCCAAGTCATCAATGAAAATGCTGAATAGCACCGGACCTAGGACTGACCTTTGTAGGACCCCACTGGATATGCCAGCCCAGTTTCATGGGGAACCACTGATAACTACTCTTTGAGTATGGTCTTTCAACTAGTTGTGTACCCATTTTATAGTAATTTAATCTAGACCACATTTCCCTAGTTTGCTTATGAGAACGACATGTGGGACAGTATCAAAAGTCTTTCTATAATCAACATATATCACATCTACTGTTTCCTCCCTATTCCCTAGGCCAGAAATCCCGTCAAAGAAGAAAATTAGGTTAGTCTGGCATGATTTGTTCTTGACAAATCCAAGATCACTATTCTTTATAACCATATTATCCTCTAGGTACTTACAAACTGTTTAATAATTTAGTCCGGTATCTTTCCAGGTGCCAAAGTTAGGCCAACTGGACTATAAGTTCCTATGAGCCACAAGTTGTAACTTGTACTTAGAAAATGTTTGCCTGCCTTTAGAAGAGACTGAATAACCAACCCAGGACAGCCAGGAACCTTTTACTTTATCTTGTACTATGAAAGCGAAAACAATGTTCATAATGGGGTGACCATTATTAAACATTCTTGAAAGCAAAACCACATACATTCCATTGGATCAGCTGAGCTCAATTATTTAGCATATGCTAAATTATTCAAAACAGCATTTACAGAATGAAAAATAAACAATTTAAGATCCTTCTTTCAAAGGGCAACATTTACCAAACATGTTTTCTATTAGTTTATCTAATCCAGCACTGAAAGTGGGGGATAAGAAAGCTAGGTCTATCTTGGCAGATGACTATGATACAAATACTTTTTGTCCACTTCAAGAGATTACAGGAAAGCATAATATCCCTGAAGGCATTTCTCAAAATACCTTTAACTTAGAGATTTTCAGGCAAATAAAAAAAAAGATTAAAAACAAACCTTAGTAAAACTATTTTCATAGGCAAATTGATGTTGAATATAAGGCAAAGGTCTCTGCCTTTTATTCTGGAAGCTTATATCAAATGTTATGTCCCACTTTCCTTTCCTTCAACAGACCTGGATTAAAGTGCGGCTGAAAGCAGGATCATATTAATCATATTCCAGATAAAGCATAGGTCGATTGACTAAAGGAGATAAAACCACCCTTGATTTCAAATAGTGTCTTTGATTTACAGTGTAAATGTTTTCGTGATCTTCTATTTTTCCATACAGCATGTAGGTTCTTAGTCTATTTTTACAAGTAGGAGCACGCATTCCAAAAGTAGTAAGTTTAAAAATAGGACAGAGTGCATTTTTTTTTGGTAAGGTGCTTTGGGTACTATACTATGATGACTCCCTACAACAGAGAGCTGCATGTATGTTACAGATAGAAGGGATTTAAATCAAAATGTTTCTCTTACTCTGGGATTATTTTCAAATCAAAGGATTAAATCAGCCATTACAAAATGTATTTTAAAGAGGCTTTTTTGGCAGCAAGAAATTGTATTGTAACAAAGTGTTAACATTTATGTTCTACCTTCATGTAGATTTTCTGTTTGAAACTTTTATTTGTGTAAAATCTTAAGAAAAAAAGAAATATTTTTGTAGCATTTGCCACATCTAGAAAAGGCAGGGAAAGGGAGAGGAACATTATCCAACTGGCCCCTTACCTCTTCGTATCTGTCAAACACAGCTCCATCTTGCATAAAGGAAGGGACTGACTTCTGCCAGTTAAATTCATACGGTTTTGCCATGATTATGTGTGAAAAACCTGAAATGAAACAGAAAGAAACAGCATAGTTCAATTGTTGCGTTCTATAAGGAAGGCTGCATAGACTGTTGGGGACAAACAGCTGGCTTTCCTTGCAACAAAACAGTTTATAAAAACACAATACTGGGTTTTCAGATAAAGAGTTTCCCTCACATAAAATTAGTTTATCTTTGATAAAAATATAATTTTAAAAGTACAATATGACTGAAAAATGTTTTAAAGAGTGACTGAACATGACAATTATCTGAAAGACTGCTGCAGATTGTACCATTAATAGGGCCCTACCAAATTCACGGCAATAAAAAACCACATCACGGACTGTGAAATCTGGTCCCCCCGCCTGTGAAATCTGGTGTTAGGTGTGCTTTTACCCTATACTATACAGATTTCACACGGAAAACCAATGTTTCTCAAATTGGGGGTCCTGACGCAAAAGGGATTTCCAGGGCGGTTGCAAGGTTATTTGGGGGGGAGGGGGCGATATTGCCTCCCTTTCATCTGTACTGCCTTCAGAGCTGGGCGGTTGGAGAGCGGTGGCTATTGGCCGGGCGCCCAGCTCTGAAAGCAGCACCCCGTCAGCAGCAGCGCGGAAGCAAGGGTGGCAATGCCTCAGAGCTGGGCGGCAGAAAAGTGGCGGCTGCTGACTGAGGGCCCAGCCTGCAGGCAGCAGCGCAGAAGTAAGGGTGGCAACACCCTACCGGGCCATCCTCACTACTGCGCTGCTGCTGGCAGCAGCTCTGGCTTCAGAGCTGGGCTCCCCGCCAGCAGCCGCCGCTCTCCAGCAGCAGTGCAGAAGTAAGGAAGCAGCACTGCAACCCCCCTGCAATAACCTTGCAACCCGCCCCACAAACTCCTTTTTGTGTCAGGACCCCTACGATTACAATACTGTGACATTTCAGATTTAAATAGCTGAAATTGTGACACGTACGATTTAAAAAATCCTATGTCTGTGAAATGGACCAAAACGGACCCTGATTTTGGTAGGGCCCTAATCATTAATCAATTTAAATACCTGCTCAAATCAATGCAAGAGTTTAATTAGCTACAGATTAATGTACACCTAAGTAACATTCATTAGCACAGCTGGTAATATATGCAAGCATTTCACTGAAAGGTAAGTGCTATAGCAGAATCACATACTAAAAGGCAAAATGCTTTTACATTTTTATTCTGGATTTTATATTTCAAAAGCCATTTACTCTACACACAAAACCAGCTCTTTTCAGCAATATTTTATATGCATCTCATATTATCTATATTTATATAAAATATGCAGGTATATTATGCAGGTAATGATTCACAGAAGAGAATCTGTAGGGGAGTATAGGGAACGGAAGGAGGTTTATCTACCACTACTGTGGATTTTTGTACAAGTTGAACGACACGTGGACTAGCAGCCACTATTAATTCAGGATGCAACTAAAACATCAGGGTACAAAGTCCATTTTAATTTACACAATGTTTTTTAAAAACCAACATAGTCTGAGCAGGATACAATACCCAAACATGCTTTACTCATATTGCATCGCTGTGCAAATAGTCCCATCACATACCATTTAATACTCTGTCAAATACTGAATTGACAGCATCTAACGTACAAATTGCTATGTCCAATTTGGCAGTGACTTGCCTGCTTACAAGTGCACTCTGGGATGCACAATATCCTGATAGTTCCAGTAAACTGGTGGGTGGGAAACTCTTGTATTCACAATAATGCATGTTGAATTAGTGTGGAAGGTTGGGAATCTCTCTGACCCAAGGGAATCAACAATTTAATTTTTTGAAACCATGTATTAGCATGGCTGCTTCTGGATTCAATCACAATATTTTATCCTATAAAAAAAATCACATATCTCATAGGTGAAAACTAGATTATAATCCGGCATTCTGTAATTTCATTGTTTTTGAAGTCAATACACCTGAGGGGAGGGATGTATTTAAAACCTTAGGGGCTGGACACTTTTTTACTCATGCTGCCTCGTAGCCCATTCTGTGAGAAGCTCCAGCTGATTTCAGTAGGACTGTTTGTCGTAAAATACTACAAGCTGTGAGGAAAGATGGCAGAATCTGGCTGTTCGTCATTATCAAGGCTCCAACTTAAAATCTTTGGTCCAGACTGAGATTTAGGCACTGCGCTCCGCGAGGGGTGCTGTGCAAGCACCCCCATCCCAGAAGTAATTCCAGGAGGCCTTGAGCTCAGACGCGCCCAAGCCACCACTCTTCCCATGCTTCCTTCTCGCTCGCAGGTGGTCATAATATGCTGCTAGCCTGTATCAGCAGTACACTGCTTCCTAGGTGAGACAGCCAGTGAATGTATAGTGCACCAAGGCTCTGCCAATGCCCTGCCCACCCTGCAAACACCTGTTCCAGGCAGGAGGCGTCCAAGTAGCCTTATTTATTCCTGCACAACCAGATGCAAGGTCCAGGTAACCCACCCTGGATGGGTGTGTCGCCAAGTCACAAGTGAGCCTACATGATACAATTTTAGTCCTGATTCTGCACTTCTTACACAGATGAAATGCCTTCTGGGAGCAGGATGAGCCCTTTGTGATTAAGGCTAACCTGTAATGGTAAGACTGTGACAAATGCAATCTGCCCCGAGTAAGAGGCAGTGCAAAGCCATACTACTCCATGAGTAGCCCAGACTCCGAGAGGCACAATTCAGTCTCTAGATTCCCCTTGCTCTAAGGAGACAATATTGTCTATGTCTGGGCTGGCTCAACTGCACACTGGCAGCCACAGTGAGGGGAGGAGAGTCAAGGTCCAGCCCATTCTACACACTTGTCTATCTATTCTCCACTCTTTTGCATGGGGGATGGAATAGTGACTTATGGAGACTGTCCTTCCATCCATGCGATGGGCTCATGAGGGGCGCCCCTTTTCCCCAATGCAGGCACACTGGGCAAGCAACAATCTTGCCTAAATGAGCATAGCGAGACGCTTATGTAAGACTTGGGAGAAGTGTTACTATAGGCTGTGTAATCAGTGTTATGGAAAACTCCTTTGCAGTGTTTGTGCATTACAGAATTCTAAACAGCAGACTAATACACTGTCAACCAGAATGAGAACACGGCTTCCATTAGGCAGAAAGAATGCTCTGAATTTCAACTTTTATTTGATTGTATCTTTAACTTCAGAACAGACATAAGTGTTCCCAAACGAAGGACTGATATCTTCTTGCTCGCTCTTATCATAAAATTTCCTAACAAAAGAACAAATGGCCTCAAATGGCACTATTAGGAGACTTTGCCCAAGATTGTTTTCAAGAACAGATACTTCTGATAAATTTTCCACTAAAAAAAACTGCCTTCTTATGGGGAGAAAAACAACCCTGCATTTTTATGCTATTAGTCTTTTTACCTCCTGCCTTTTGTCAAACAGTTGTTGAAATATATATCAAAATACATAGATCAACAGCCTACATGAAACCAGCCAGACCTTCTGAACATGTGAGTTCAATTTAGGTACTGTTACTATCAGAAATGTAATTGGACAGTGATATATAACATCATGAACATTAATTCTCCGCTTCAGCTGAAAATGCTTCCATTTGCACAAATGCGTAAAACAATGGTCACTCTATTCTCCAATAAAAAGAATTAGTGGCTATAAATAATAATATCGTTTCTTCAAAAGAGAGGACAAAGGACGGCCTTGTGAATAAAGCACAGGGCCGGGTGGTAGGGCACACGGATTCTACTTGTGCTCTTACACAAGATTCTTCTGTGACCCTGTGCTAGTCGTCTAATCTCTCTGCACGCAGTATACCACTCCGCCATGGGAATGATGTGCACCTCAGGGGGCTGTACAAGATTTGGAGATCTTGCATGAGAGGCACCATAGTAGTATTATTCCCTTATTATTATTTACAATTTCAGCCTCTCCCCAGTTCCATTAATGGGGAGCAGCCTTTTTTGCTCACTATCAGAAAATTGCAAATTAGAGACCCTTGTCACAGTCCAGGTTGACAGCACCAGTATACCTGCTCCATGATCCACCAAGGGCATCTACTCTAGGCTCTCAGTCATCACCTCTTTTGGGTGGAGACATGTCTGCCTCTCCCTCCTGACCAGGGTTTTTACAGGCTGCACAGTTCCCTGTCTACATTGTGATATCCCAGCAAGCCAGACTGCCTAAACAGGCCAGCATCTGCACTTAGCTTACTCTTTGAAGGCTATGAACAGCATAATTGCCAGCAGTAATAAGTTATCACACAGCTCTTTCTAAGTAAGTATATTCGTTCTTAAGGTGAAAGCATTACAGAGAAAACATTAAAAACAATAGAAGTTCCTATACATGTGCTAAAAGCTTACCTATAGGTAAAAATCAGTATTATGGGGCCTCAGCAAGGCAAAGACCTTCCAAGCATTCCCAGGAAGAACTGCCCTCCCTGGCCTTGGACAGAGGGTCCCTGTCCATTTGCTGAATAATAGAAGTGTAGGACTGGAAGGGTCATCTAGTCCAGTCCCCTGAACTCAAGGCAGGACTGCGTAATAACTACATCACAATTTGTCTAATGCTCCCCACTGTTCTTAATTCTTGGAGGGGCTGTGGTCATTGTCCTCCATGGAACTACATGTAACCCCTGGCCTACAATACCACATCAGGCCAATGGTCCATCTAGCCCAGTATTCTGTCTTCCAACAGTGGCCAATACTGGATGCTTCAAAGGGAATTAACAGAATAGGACAATCATCAAATGATCCATCCCCCATCATCCAGTCCCAGCATCTAGCAACCAGAGGCTTAGGGGCACCTATAGCATGGGGTTGCATCCCTGACCATCTTGGCTAATAGTCACAGATGGCCTGTCCTCCATGAACTTTTGAATCCAATTATAATTTTGGCCTCTGCAACATCCGCTGGCAACGAGTTCCATGGGGGTTGACTGTGCGTTGTGTGAAGTACTTCTTCATGTTTGTTTTAAACCTGCTGCCTATTAATTTCATTGGGTAACCCCTGGTTTGTATGTTATGTGAAGGAGTACATAACACTTCCTT